CTTATTCTCATTGTTCTCAAGTTTAATGTGTCGCAGTTGCACATTAGGAACATCTTTCACATATATCCAACGGACGCGAAACTGACCCTTCCACTTGTCCTGAGACCATACACTACTGTTGCTCTGATAGTCAACAGGGGAGACCATCTGCGCCATGCCGCAGAAATGACCGGATCCATTTACAGAGAAGAACAAATAAAGAGGCGCACCTTCGCGACTTGCCTCCCGGTAAGCCTGATCCAGCCGCTTATTACCATGCTCCGTGCTGCACCAAATTTCATACTTAATGGATCGATGGATGTCGTCCTCTGAATATGATTTGATCACGAAAAACCTCGCGCCAGGTGCAGCTTGATCAAAATCCACAGGATTGTAGTCGTTCTTTACTTTCAGTTCATCGAGAACCGGATGCGATGGATTGCCCTGGACAAGTTGCTGTTGTTGTTGTTGCTGCTGCTGTTGATGTTGCTGTTGCTGCACTTGCTGCTGATGTTGTTGTTGCTGATGGTGATGTTGATGCGACTGCTGATGCTGCTGTGATTGCGGCGACATATGAATTTGCGTTTGTGACTGTGGCTGCGGGATCGGTGGAGTTGCCGTTGTGGACGGCTGCCTGTTCCAACACGGTTGTGGGGGCTGTTGCGGTCGTTGCTGCCTCTGGACGGGCGGAGGCGGTGGCGGAATCGGCGGCATCTGCGGCGGTGGAAGCGCCGTAGGCGGCGGCGCGGAAGACTTGCCCTCGCCCCACGTTCCGATGTCCATGTTGTGCTTACCTGGCACGATAGGCGGTGGCGGCATGCCCGCCTTTTTCTTCATTCCTTGCGAGGATGAGAGTGGCGGCACCGGTTTCGCCGGCTGACTCGCCACACTTGCCCACGTTATCTTTCTCGGTTCCTTTGGCTCAGATTTAATCTGTTGTGCCGTAGCCTGCTGCGGATGTTGCTGATCTTGTCGTGGTAGCTCACTGCCACCACTGCCGCCAATAGACAGACCCTGCACACCCTGCTCAATGGTCTTGATCTCGCCGGTACCGCTTGCCGTCGGATTAACATAGTTCTCGTTGCCGCGTGGCGGTTGATAGTAATCCTCGTACTTGGTCCTCCTTGGTGTACCCCATGTATTGAAGTCGCCGTTGCCGTGGAAGTAATTGAATGGCGGTTGGCCAAACGCGTTGAAACCCCCGCCAGCTGCCGACGCTGAGAACATGCCATCCATGCCATACGCATCATGGCTTATTTGACCGCCATAACTGGACAAAAAGGCGACTGGATCGGTACCGTTCGACCACGTGCCATCGCCGGCGCCGAAGGTTTGATAAGAGAACGAGGTACCGGCATAGTACGGGCTGTACGGATCGCCGGTGCCGATTGGATAATTTGAGTGATGCTGAGCATTGTTGCCACCCCGCCACGAGTCAAAACCAGTGTCCTCGCCAGCGGCATGCTCCGTTTGTTGTTGCTGCTGGTGTTCCTTAGGACCATTGCTCACTATCCGAAACAAAACTCTGTGTTTATTCAGTGTTCGAAAGTATATGTAGCAATTAGGTGCATATGACACGACAGCAGTCGAAATATTGCTCGTTCCTCAAATAGATTGTTAATATTATTTCAAGAAGTTTTTCAAAATAAATATAAACTCGCATTGTAGATACTAGAACAGTATAATTTATAGCACTTTATTGTTACCTTACATCAATGAAATTACATCATTTAGATAATAAACTAATAAAGGGAAGTACACACATCCAATGTATATAACTCGATAGTTACAATTATATAAGTTAAAAGATTTAAAATGTAATGAGAAAAAAAAAAACATCAACATTGTTGTATTCTACTAGAGAGATTTAAATTATACAGCGCATTTTAAAATCTTTTAATTTTATTGTAGAGAACAGGTTCAATCTCTTCATTATGTAGGCAACAAGATCTATTCTTCAGCTCTATCACAAACCTCTCACACGTTCAATATATACACAACTACATTTCTCCGAGTATCCAAATGATTAACGTAGTATTATCCTCCAATAAAAGAGTTCGTTCTTCGCTGCTCTCAATTCAACTCGCGCGCTTCTTCTACGAGAGCTCTAGACGACGAGTATAACAGCAAGGAGGAAGGTCGTCAGGGTGCGAGTTGCTGGTGGGGTTACTCACCTTGATTGCTAGTTTGTCCTTTCATCCGCTGCATGCCGTTGCATGAAAAAACATACAAAATTTAGAGAAATGCCAGCCCTCGGCAGCGTAACGGTAACAAGGGGGAGGCACGTGAGGAAGGGAGGTATGTGTGAGTTGTCTGCCGCGGTAGAGCGGCAACAGCAACGGTGCGACACGACACGACACGGCACGGCACAGCACAGCGCGGCGCGGTACAGCACAGCACAGCGCGGTGCGGCGCGGCGTGTAACGCGTCAACACAACACACTGACCTGGTTTGAGACAGCGCCTGCCAATCCGCTTGACATAACCTGCGACTCGCGCGGCTGCCTCGCGTGTCGTCGTCGTCGTCGTCGTCGGCGGCGGGCGTCGAACGACGGCGGCGGCGGTGGCGGCGGCGATCGTATCGGAGGGGGACGAACTAGGTTCTTAGGATAGACTTAGGCGGTCGAGTCGAAGGATGCACCGGCTGTGTGGGACGATCGCGAAAGCGCGATTAGCATCCAGCGATCTCGTCTGCTTGTGTTTTTCTCCCTCTCTCTCTCTCTCTCTCCTTTCTTTCTCGTTCACTCGCTGGTTTGTTTGCTTCTTCGCGGTGAATTCGGCTGCTGCTGTTGCTGCTTCGCACTCCCGGGTTGTCTCGCGCACGGCGTCCGCGACTCCGCTCTTTCTCTCTATGTACCGCGATTCTTCCCGCTGTTCCTCCGCGCGCGCGCGCGCGTGCGTTCGCCCGACGTGGCCGTAGTCTCGTCGAGCGCGAACCAAGCGTAAGCAGACCGAGCCTGACCGCGCACCAAATGTCCCCGGCCCGCTCGGAAGTCTTTGACGGAACAGTTCGTTGCTGCGTATTACACTTGCGGCACAACGGGCCACCAGGAGTAACCGAAGTTTCCGAACGGATTCCTCGGCTTCGAGCAACAACTACGTGATGTACACTGACCTCCCGTGTCCACTCGCAGGCACGCCAACCCGCGCTCTCGAACGAATGTCACCAGGCTTCCCCAAGTAGACTTTGAAAAATCTGTCGTGATGAGAATCGTTTTCCTTAATTACTTCGTGCCGTTGTACCTTCTTTTTAAAACTTGAATGTAGATTTGCCTTGTTAAATGCAAAAATATTTTTATATCAAGAACAAAAATGCATACACACACACATACATATATCTGGTCTGATCTATTGCGTGAAGTTAGCTGCAGTGATAAAGAGCCATCTTCGGATATATCTTTCTCTTTCCTTTTAAGGCGATGTCGTGTCTTTCTCTTTTTAAATATCATATGTTGTGATATATTGCATTTAAATATCCAACCATAATTGTCCATTGCATTAGTATAATAGTTATAGTATGTCTATTTTTATCAATGTAGGTTAACTTTAATCTTAATTTAACCCATTTTTTATTTTTTTTCCAATTACCGGTATTTATAATCCCATTCTTATATTTTCAAACCATCTCAAGTAATGTCTTAAAATGCTAATATATATAGTATTGTAATTGGATTATAACATCTTAAGATTGGAGACGCAAGAACAACTACGAATACTGGTGTAAGAGAATTAGAATAATATAAAGAGAGAGAGAATAAATCTTACTGGGATTAAAGTGAATCTACATTGATGGAAATAAACAATGATCGTGTAGATAAATCTTAACGTAAATAACGAAAAAAAGAATTTATAATAAATCTTTGGAAATCGTAAAATTTAAATTTCGATTTTTCTTTGATTATTTTCTTATTTATTTTGTCTATTTTTAAGAAATAAAATTCTTGCGGTTTGTGATCTTAGACTCTTAGACTTCAAATTCTAAAAATTTTCGATTCTTGTAATTTTATTTCTATTTAATTAATATCCTCCCTTTTATTTATTCCCATCTAGCAATTTATCGATTTTTGAAAGTATAGATTTTTTACTTTCTTAGAGTTCTAGGAAATTTTAAAATTTGGGTTGGTACTATTTTTAACCAGTAATTACGATCCAATACTTATTTTTTAATTTAGGGATTTTAAATTTTAAATTATTGGAAAAAATTTCTTGTTGTCAATAATTAGCAAGCATCATAGCAAAATTAATTACATGTGCTTTAATCAATAATTTTTTACCAATTGTGCTCGGATCACATCCAATTCCATAAAAATATAGAAAATAAGAAACCTGAAGAAATATAAATAATTATCGACAGCCAGAAATGTTTCAATAATCTAAATTACCTGAACTTAAAAATAAGTGTAGGAATGTAATTAAAATTAAAAATAACAAAAATTCCAAAATTTTTTAAATTTAACTTTTTAAAGGAAAATATAAGAGACTTTTATTCTAAATATTATTCTAAATAAAATATAACAAAGATAATGTTTCACAAAATATATTAGCACATACTTTTGTTACAATTGTTGAAAGCAATTAGCTATAATCTAAACGACAAAAGATATATGAAGTACAAAAATAAAGTATAAGTTTGTCACAAGGAAAGTTTTCATGCTAATTCATAGTGTTTTATAAGTACAGATGATTCCTAATTACATAATTTTATACGACGTACAGTTGTAACGTTATAAAATTTTGATAATAACTTTATTTATCTCATTAGTCACAATATTAGATAAGATTACAATTCTAATTGCTATGGCCACAGAAAATAACTATTTAAGAATAAATCGTACTACTTCAATTAATGTAACAACGAATACCACTTGCATGATATATCGCAAAAAGAAATAAATCGTTTCTAGAACTGTCATTATAATACTGAAAAAGAAATTCGAGATATATTCAACGATATTCATGTGATGAATTCAGTAGACATGCGACTATCATCTGGTATATTCATCATATGAAAATTGACCCAGTTTATTAATTCCCCGAATATTTTATATACATTAACAATAATATATTGTCAAATCTAACAAAGTACATATTCTGTAAAGTTAAGTAAGATTTACTTTTAATACGATAAGACAATCTGATCATTATACTTTTCATCTGTCTTTCTAATTGTATGATGTAGAAACACTCATACGCATACACTATATCGTGTTTGCGTCGTCGTTTATCTCCAATGACTGATCATACGAGACTGTGATAAAAAGTCTTTGGTTATACTTTCTTACAGCAAGAATAGCTCAAGATGCTGGTTTATTACTTTTTGTTTTAAACAAATAAATATCTCTGGCATTTTTCTTTTTTATTCCTTTCTCCTTTTTAATTGCTTCAATTTCTGGTTAGCCAGGAGAAGGCTTTTAAAATAAAATATGCTACGGTCGCGATATATAGAAGCTTGTCTCTTTGCTGGCGATGTAGCATGTCTAATTCGAGTGCCATCACTCTGCGGTTTAATTTACCTACTTGACGACGTAAATGCTGAACTTCCTCGGTGGGCGGCAGAGATACGTCGAGAGCATTAAAGGGTGTTTGTTCTCTATATAAAAGTATAACAAAATAAGAAATAAAGTATTTTGTAATAGATTTTTTATCCTAGTATCAAAAATGTTGTACCTGACATGTCTCGTTATCTGTGTTTCTGCATTATAAGCTTTAGGTACATCCACTGGTTTTGCAACTTCATTGTGATTTATAGGAGGGTCATCTTCATCCACTGCTGGGAAATAGTGATTGTCCAGAGTCAAGATTCTTGGAGGTGTCTGTCGATAACGATAAAAATTTGATGACAAACTGTCAATCTAGAATTTTATAAACATATTACCTGTACTCTGACTATAGCAGGCTCGGTACGCATTACAGCATTTTCTAAAACTATCTCTGGTGGTGGTGCCTTGGTACCAACATGTTGCTCTTGTCCTGTAACGAATAATTTATACAAGCCTATCACAAAAGAGTAAGCAAAGTAACATAGTAAAATATTTCTGTAATAAATGCAAAATGTTTCAGTCATTTAAAATAAAATCTCACCGACAACAAGAATCCTGTCTGGAACATGCATTTCAAGTTTCTCCATAGCAGGTATTTGATTCCACATAGCTCTATTTGTGATAGTAATGTTTTCGTCTGGGTAATCTCCGTTTACACGAATGCTTTTGGGAACTCGCATCTGCGTATTGATATCCGCAGGAAAATTTGGATCATAAAAGATGTCTGTTTCTCCGTTAAAATGTGTTGGACTATGAGTCTTTGACATTATAACTGAAACTGCATTTTTATTATAAAACGATCATTATGTAAATCCATGTATAATATTGAGCACAAAAAATAAAGCTTTATGATTGGTATTTAGGTTGATATTCATAGTTGATATTATTATATTTAAGAAGATTGTCTCAAATACAATCTTTAAAATATCAGAAGTCAATTACAGAGCATATTAGCTGTTTAAGACATTGCTTAAGACTATTTTAAAAAAAGAACTATGAAAATATCAATCCATGTTTTGTCATTGACACAAAATTTTTATATATCATATAAAAAAGTGCAAAACGAATGTGTTTTGCAAACAGATGTAGAGTTAATATAATGTGCGAACAGTGTGTGAATCCTAATATATAACAATATATATAAGGAAATTAATTCGTTTATTCTTTATAGCTAAATTACTCTTCTTAAAATAAAATTGATATATATTTAGGGTTTAAAATAAGATTAAAGATATATGTACATATAAAGACATAGGTATTTTAAATTACAATATGTGTTATTAAAATATATATCTTTAATCCTATTTTTGTTTCTATACTGAATTGCATTGTTTTCTACTAGAAAAATTAGTTCAATACTGGTGCATACAGAATGCACTTGAATGCAAATCAATTCACACATTTTTAGTGTTAATAAATAATTTAACCCTGTTAATTACATATTCTTTATTGTCACTTCATAACCTTAAAAGGATTAAATTGCACTAAATTGTATCAGTGTTGCACTAATTTTTCCAGTAAAAAATGCTATAAAACTTTGACTATTTAATATTTGGTGAACAAAATTAAAATGATAAATCACACATCATATGTTTTATGCAGAGTGCAACTTTGTCCAACTCGTTAAACTTCAAATATATATCTATTTCTATTTTAAGTATAATGAATGTATATTAGTTCAGCTATAAAAAGAACACTCTTTATCTTAAATACAAAATAAGTATTCTTTTTCAACTGGTTAATTAAGTGAACAATACAATGTTTCCTTGTCAACAACACATTTCACACAAGCAATAGTCGAGACACAAGGGTCAGCGTATAATCTTCCTCTTTGTTTTTTTATCACTCACTCGTCCATGACAAACTTTAGATATACGGTTAGAAGTCATTATCGAGGCTGCGCCGAAATCATCCGGTATTACATTATCATCCGCAAAACAATTATAAATAGATACAGATTGTTAGTAACCAACCAACAAATGTTGTTATGCGAGCATTTCTCCGTAAAGAAAAGAATATTTACCCTTAATACCTGGTTCGTCAGATATAAAACCTCTCTCCGAAGTTCGTTACAAATTTGACGGGTTAAAATTCGAACATAGGTTATGTAGTCATGAAGGCTGACGTATGTACTATGCAAAGTGGTTACGAGAGCTGCATTCATCCAATCGGAGATGGGGTACAATGAACGCGATGCTACAAAATGCTTTAAAGCGTTTTTGATTGGTCAATGTATACAATTCTTTTATTTGATTGGTCTATCAAACGATTCGAAGCGAGACTTTAACCACAGCCATGATTGAATCGAACATGACGCGCGAAATTCAGTACTAATTTTTACAAAACTAGTTACATTACAAAACTTCATTACAAGATGAATTACTAAAATAATATATATATATAAAATCAGGGAATGGAAAGTTACTTTTTAAAAGTAACTAGTTACAGTTACTCGTTACCGAGTAAAAAATGTAACTAGTTACAGTTATCGCTTTTTAAAAGTAACTCGTTACAGTTACCGTTACTTAAAAAATAACTTTTCGTTACTTTTCCGTTACTTTTTTAAATCAATTTAAAAATGTACTTTTGCATTTTTTTTTATATGTAATACTGATAAATATATATAGTTTTATTTAAAAAAAAAAAACAATGTAGAATGGCTCAAATAATAAATTAAATAAAAGTAAAATGAGAAGGGTTACGAGCCAAAAATGAAACAGTTTATTTCCGATAAGAACGACGATGACAATGTAATTAAATGTATAAATATATATTAGAACAACAACATGGATAAAACAAGATAAAAACAAACGATGTTTCCACACTTATTGTCATCGTCTTTTAAACTGCTTCGCTTTTGGGTTCGTAGCCCTTCTCATTTTACTATTATTTAATTTATTTTTTAATTTTTTTTAAACACAATTTTGTAATTCTAAAACCTGTAAAATATGCAGCAAACTGAAATATTTGTATGTCCTATGTATTACATAGAAGATAGAAGTGTAAAATAATTACTGAATCATAACGGCCGAATGTCTAAGGGCTTTCAAGTCTTATTGATAAGCGCTATAAATAGCATGTATCCAATCGAACCGTGTTCAATCGTGTGCAAAGTAACGACAAAAGTAACTGTAAATTTCGTTACCGTTACCCAAAAAATGTAACTCGTTACCGTTACAGTTACCAAAAAAAGAAAGTAACGCAGTTACCAGTAAAGTTACCAAAAAAGTAACTTGTAACTGTAACTTCGTTACAAGTAACGAGTTACTTCCATTCCCTGTATAAAATGTACATTTTGAAAGAAAAAAGGATTAATACGTTTACAATATAACTGTTTATTACAAATAATATAATCAAATCATAATTTGCGTACAAAATGAAAATCTTATTGTTATAAATCAAATTTCTATTGTCTTCATAAGCATAATTGTAATACTGATCTATAATATTCCCTATGGTTTCAAAATTTTCATTAATTGGTAGTAAACAAAATACAATATTTGACAAAGCTTGATTATTATACTAATAATTTATGCATTTGTATAAAAATGCAATATTATATATAAAAATAATTCTAATAATTATATTTAGTACACTTTGAAATTATATGCCATTTGAAAGCACTAGATATGTATAACATTGTATGTGTAATATCATTATTCTTCTTTATATTTCTTTTGGAAGATTTTTTTATATTTCTTTGATGTTTCTTTATATGTGTATAAGTGTTTTATAACAAAAAAGATTTATTCAAAATTAATTTAATAAAATTAATCTTGTATAATACTCTGATAATAAAATAATAAATATAGATTATATGTATGTCTGTATATATAGATAATATATATAAATCAATAACAAATAATAATAACAAATATTAACAATCTGAATTTTACGTTGTCTTAAATTAAGAAAAAAATTTGATAATTTTCTCTTGCATCTATAACAATTATTCACACAAATATCACTGATTACAGACTAAGTTTCTATCGAGAATTCAAACTGGATCAAAGTGTAAGAACTGACCAACCATAGTCAAGCATTCTTGCGTCTTATTCAACTATAAAAGAAGAATACTTAACTGTGACTAGTCAATTCCTACATACATTGCAACCCAATCCAAACCTTCGATGAAAACTTAGTCATAGATGCAGAGAAAATTAAAGTTTTTGATTTAATAATTTTATAGTCATTTTGTCATTTTAGAGAAAGAGCATGAAGCAATTAATTATTATATGAAAAATAAAAATTATTGGCGATATAAATCTGACAAAATGTGATATAGAATACACAATTGCTCTAAATTTGCAACAAATTTGGTGACTAATTTTGGTGACTGTAATATTATGCTTCATATTTTTTACATAGACAATCAACCTAACTTGTTTTTTTTTTTCAATTTGTACTTTTTTCTGTTATGTACAAAAAATTAGTGCTATAATTGTACCAATGATAACAACTATTATTATTATCCTAGACAGAGATATCGGTAATAAATAAGAAAATCTTCCTCTAGGTAGGTAAATTTGAGTTAATGAACAGTTTTTTTTAGATTCTATTATAAAGCTTTCCTTTGATGAGTCTTCACAACTTTTAAAAGAGTTTTCATACTTAGTTTGTGCTACAGGTTGAACGTACATAAGTGATGGAGCAGAAATCTATAAATGATATACTGTTTAAGAGATAAGTAAGATATAAACAAGTTTTTTAATTCATTAATTGATCAATTGTATTATGCGTCAATTTTGCTTCATAAAATCGTTTTAAATCAGGTCTGTACATTTGCACATCACACATTTTCAACTAATGAATTAAAACTCTCGTTTTACATTGCATTACCTAATAGTATTTCATAATCAAACTTGGATCTAATTCTATAGAATATTATCAATTATTTACCTTACGAAAAATTTTCCTTTTATATGGTTCATATTGATGACTCAAACGACGTATATATCCTTCTAATGGTTTGCGGGATTTTGGTTTACATGAAAAGCTAATAAAAATATAAAAAGTTGATAACTAGTAACTACTATTAAAGTATTATAATTAACATGAGATGTAAAGCAGTAGCAGCACAAAAGAGATAAGGAAATCAATGGTGCAACAAAGCATCTATTTATATAGGCTCATTTATACCAATAAATTAATTTTAATCCTGGTTCAATTTCCTCTACATCTATTTCTAATTCTTAAAATGAGAAAGAAATAAAGAATTAATTGAATAAAAATTAAAATTAAACTACATTGATAGAAACGAGCATTTATGCAAAAACTTAAACTCTTAAGAATTTTTTTACATTCTATTACTATTAATTATTAGCAAGATTATAAATTTTGAGATTTGTGATAGAGCAATGATACCTCGAAAAAAATTGTCTACTGTCCATTCTGCAACTTTCACAATTTTTCTTCATTTGTTTTATTTTGTTGCAAGATCTCGTTAAAAGCATGGTTGGAAGCATATTCAGGGAGTCATTGTGTATCTCAAAATATGAGGTGAAAAATTACAAAAGTGAGTAAATTCACTAGAATATTCAATTTAATTGGTCAATATCTAGAGAATTTGTTCACTTTTATAATCTTCACTTTATTTCAAGATACACAATAGACTCAGATTCCTGTAAAATTGTTGAATGGCTATCGCTGCATTGCGCGTATTTTCAAACCATTTCAAACTGTGCGATGCAGTGTTGCAACCATGAAGGAAGATATAAGGAGACTCCACTCGGTCTCGCCAGTCTACAAGACATGACCTAGGTATTGATCATGAAACTTTTTCCCTAGGATGAAAAGTGAAAAGTGAGAATTTTTATCATTGAAGTTAATGGAGAAATTTTTCACTTTTCACTTTTCATCCTAGGGAAAAAGTTTCATGATCGATTCCCTAAAGTGGACCCATTTTAGGTTTCGAGTTCCGTTTCCGATTCTCGACACTCGTAGCGCTCGTGAATTTAGTAGTGCTGCGCATAATGAGTGCGAGTAAGAGAAATGATCATTTCTTTTACTCGCACTCATCAGAATCGGAAGCTGAACTCGAAACCTAAAATGGGTCCACTTTTAAGCGGAGAGCACAGACTTTTGCATAACGCATAAACCATATACATAAAGAATTTGATTGGTCCACTGACTCATGCATAAGAAAATGGACCAATGAAATTCCTTATGCACATGCTTTATGCGTTATGCAAAAGTCTGTGCTCCCCGCTTTATTTTACGGAGTGGAGTCTCCTTATATCTTACTTCCTGGTTGCAACCATGCAATCTTGCAACATTTCTGACGTCAAAGTGATGAAATTTCAAGCCATACACACACACACATGAGAATCAGTAAGAACCATAAATAAGATAGTATAAACAGAGAGAAACCTGAGAGTGGACAGTCTAGCCTGTTTCATGTACCAAATCTTAAGGCCGGAATCAAACTACGCATTGAAAATTGAGATTGAAGATTGAATTTTGGCTATTCAAAATAATAGGAGCTAAAATTTCTTTATTGATCAAATTTCAATTTTCAATCTTCAATCTCAATTTTCAATGCGTAGTCTGATTCCGGCCTAAAACTGTTGAACCAATAAGCATCCAGCATAAAGTTGCCATATTGATTAACAATCTCCAATGCGTAGTGTGATTGCGGCCTTACGCATTTCATGTGTTTTGGGCTTGATACCTTGGTGGCAGTCTGGTGAGAATCTGAACATAAAAGTTGGGAGTTTTATTTCCCGCCAAAATTCATGGAACTACGAAGTGAAATGCCGCGTGCATGTCAGTGTTGTCAAAAGTGTTTCACGAGAAGAATATAATGGACGATTCGCAGGGTAAGTGTGTGTGTACCACCGAATATATTTTTTAAACATCACGCCACGATAAGTGTGTTACACATTTATGAATGCTTTGAATCTTTTATTTGTATTTTTGTCATACCTTTTGTTTACTTGTTTAGATTTGTTTTTATTTCTGCACTAAACTGCACTACAAATCTTCTTTCGCCAAATTCCATCTCTCTAAAAAAACATATTTATTTCAAACTTTAAAAGTATATACTACTGTAGCTCATATGAGAAATAGACTTCAAGTTTATAATGTATATTTGGTAAT